GCTATTAGGTTGGAGGCCATCGCTATTTGGTTGGAGGCCATCGCTATTAGGTTGGAGGCCATCGCTATCAGGGTGGAGGCCATCGCTATTAGGTTGGAGGCCATCGCTAGCAGGTTGGAGCTTATCCACCAAGGTGATTGGTCTGGTTGGGTAGGGACTCCTTGGGATGTGAAACATGTAAGTGTAGGACTCACACTTGATGCCATTTTGGCTCAAGCGTGGGTCAGAGCTTTTCGTTTTTTCGCGATGCCGTCCACACCGCCACCGTCTCGGGGTCCGGGGCCCTGAACGACCTCCGCGAAAGGGGCGGACTCGGTCGCCGCTGCCGCGTTCGCGGCCACCTTCCAGTTCGCCGAGCATGAGACCCGGGAGTGCTCCGCCGCCTGCTGTGGAGGCGATTCGACCAGGCCAGCCGATGGAACCCGAGCTGGCGAGTCTACAAACCGGACAGTCTCCGTGAGCTGCTGGTTTTGTTAGGCGCCCAGACCTGCAGCGATGTCATTGCGCTATGGGGTAGCAGCCAGGAGCTACTGGCCGAGTTGGCACGTGCGAGGGGGCCTTTGCCGGTCGACCAGGAGTTCGGGGTGGCTGCATTCTGGACGGTGGCTTCTGGCAGAGCTCACAGTACTCGGATCAAGTTGCAGCAACTTATCGAGGACTACCGGCGATCCTGTACCTCCGTTGCTCCGGTTCCGTCCGGGACGGATACCACGGTCCGCCCGCAGCGTGTTCAGATCCGGCACCTGACTGCCACGGGCCATGGCCCCGCAGCTCCTCCCTTGCGCACGGATGGTCCCCAGGACCCCTATGCCCACAAGGTTTGCGCTTCTCTGGATGACTTCCTCGATCTCCAGGAGTTGGGGGTTGATAGAGTTATGATGCAAGACCCTGTCCGCCCAGTTGCTCAAAGAGGTCATCATGCCGGCTGCGAGCAGGCTGCCGTCACAGAGGGCTGGTGCCCTCATGGCTGCGCTGCGCCGCTAGCGGACCTTTGTCATGGAGAACGGGTTTTCGGTCCGTGCGCCTACCCCGCTCCAGATGAGCGCCTTTTTTCGGATGGTGGCAGCTGGAGGCCCTATACAGTGGCTCCGAGTATGTTCCATGCCCTGCAGTGGTACCGCCTGAACTTCGCCCTCCCCTTTGAGCTCGACCACTGGCTTTTGAAGCCCTACAAGTTGCTGCCTTTGGGCCCCACGGTCCAACCGAAGAGCTCCAACCATGGGAGATGGTGAACCTGTTGTTCCGCCTATTCGATTCGAGCATTTTCAACACTCCACCTTCATGGGTGAGGCGGACACCTTCCTCATTTTCCGTTGCTCTCAGGGTCAGGCCCATAAGCAGGGTGTACGGCCTCCATGCCTGACCTGCTTTTCCGGGGAGCCAGCGTGTTGAAAATCGCGCTTGACTTGTTCAGCACAAACTTCCCCTGGAGCTGGTTACCTCTGGCCCTCTGTGGAGCTCCAGGCGGACTAGCTTTGGCAGGTTTCGCCGCTTAGGCGGTCTCCAAGAAGATGAGCCGGACGTTTTCTGGAGTTGCTCCGTGGCGCCCTCATTGAGGTCGGGGTTGACCCCTTGCAAGCGCAAGTGGTGGGCTTCAACAGGTTGCGCAGGTTCCTCCCCACTTTGGGGCAAATCTGTCGCCTGAACCCTACGGACCAACAGTCATTGGGCAGCTGGGTGGAGGTGCCGAGTGCCGGCGGCCTTGCACCACAGCGCCGGGCTACATGGTCGATGGACGGGCGCTGCGCTGGACACAGGGTGGTGCATTCGGGCTTGCTCAAGGCTGCGTTGATCACGAGGTTCTTGCACCTCTGGCAACAGAAGCAGCCAGAGTTGGCGCTATCGGTTGGCGGTTTGCCTGCTGTAGGCAAGGTCTCGCTTGTGACCTCGACAGTGTTGTGGTGCACTCCAATCGATTCCTCCGGCTTGGCACTGCTGTTGAGTGCCATTGCCAGCTCGGTCTTGGCGGCTGTGTATTCGATACCGAACTCGCAGTTCATTGTGTGACGGCTCACGGCATCATACACGGCTCAGTGGACCTTCACCATGTCACTTGCCCTGAGCTGCATCGGCGTCACTGTGGTGCCCCTGCGCATGTTGGCTGGTCACAGAAGGGTTGATCTGTGTCCGTCTCACTTTCACTCCGCAAAGGCTGCTCCCAGCCCTTGAAACCCCCGTTTTGACCCCTCGCTGGTGCAGCCAAACTGCGGGGTGATCTTAATCGGATGTTGTCCAGGTGTGCTGGTTTTGCAGGCCGCAACCCGGAAATTTTCGGGTGCTACACTGCGTGCAGACTCCCATCAATTGACCAAGGTTGACTACTTCACCTTGACATTCTGACGAGCATGGTGGCGTATCCTCAGCTAGCTGAGAATGACGCACTCCGGTTATAGGCTGCGCGCTTGGAGCCCTGTTTGATTCCACTTGGGGTGAACTGTGCAGTTCCCCCGTGGGCTGGCAACCAGGGTGGCATGTCTTGAGCTCGTTGAGACTACTACGCTCCGGCTCGGCTGCCTGATTAAGGGGCATTATATGACTCCTCTTGGGGTGAACTGTGCAGCTCCCCCGCGGGTCATCATCAGTTGGCAACCATGTGCTCAGCGCCTCCACCCAGCTGAAGCTCGGCGTGGCCTGTCACTACCATGGCTCTGTGGCGACTCACGTAATTGCTTCTCCACTTAGCGCCTTACTTTTTCGGGTACGGGTGTGGGTCTCAAGGGTTGATGGTGACAAACCTTTGGGCCTGTCCCGTTTGTCTCCTAGATCAATGGAGCAGGGACCAAGTGTCGCACCTTTTCACACAATCTTTCCAAGCTCCCCAGTGTGCCTGGCCTCGTGTCTCCCATTATGGACAGTGGGTGATAGTTGTTATGTTACAGTGGGTTGGATGGCAAGTTCATCTAAGATGACTTACCAAGCTAGTCTGTGTGTTTGATACCACGACTGATTGCCAGTGTTATTTTATTAAAATAACACTCCTGTCCATCTCTGTGAGTATCTGAGGCCTTGAGAAAAGAGATGCTGCTTTCGTATGAGCCTGCCTTCATGTTTCTTATCCACCACGGTGACTGGCCTGGTTGGGTAGGGACTCTTTGGGATGTGAAACATGTAAGTGTAGGACTCACACTTGATGCCATTTTGGCTCAAGTGCTTTTCGTTTTTCCCACCCTCCCAGCCTTGACACCCTCGTATCCTATCTCACCCTGATACAGGTCTGAGTACCTGCTTTGTGGGGTGGATGGCAAGTTCATCTAAGATGACTTACCAAGCTAGTCTGTGCGT